AGAGCACCACCAACTCCCTGTGGCATCTTCAGAGGTCTTGTTTCTCAAATGAAAATATTTTCCTGCTTCCCAGGAAAACATCCGTGTCTTTTTTCAAAGCAATTGAAGGTTCTGAAATGAATCATTGGAGTGATTTGCAGCAGCTGCTTGCCCAAATGCCCCCCCCTGAAAAACGGAGACGGGAAAAGCGTGTGAGTGATAGGTATTACAGACTCAGAGGTGGGGATAGGAGTGGGGTGCTTTCCTCTCCACATCTGACGTGCAACAGACATCCATGGTGCACTGCTCTCACCACCAGGCAGGCAGGAGATGTGCCCTCCTCGTTCTTCGGAAGGGAAAGGACAATCCTTGGACAGTTTTCCACAGCTCCTCCTCCCATCCCGGTCCTGCAGGCTGCCAAGGACCCTGCCTGCTCCCTGGCTGGGTGCTCCGGAAATGACAAAAATAACGAGTGAGCTCCACAAGCAGGGAACCAGCAACAGCAGAGGAAACGAAACAGAAAGGTTTGTAGAGAAAATGTGTGCCTAAGCGCTTCCACGAGGTGTCAGCAACAGTTACTATTCATCACAGCTAACCAGAGATGCCTGGGGCTGCCAGCAGCCTCTTTGCCTGGCATAGACTCACCGTGAACAAGTCCCATCTAGTGACTGCCCGCAGCTCAGGGCCCCAAGGACCAAACCAATATACTTGTGAAATATCCTTGACCTAAAGAGCTCTCAGGCTAACACAGGGTGGTCGCAGCAGTGTCACTGCACCCCTTCTGCAGATGAAATGCTGGTGATGCAGTGAAATTGAACTGGAGAGCAATGATGCACCTGCAGTGGCAGAGGGACAGGCAGCATGTGTATCCCAGCCCAGCATCCCTACTGCAACCCCTGACTCTGCTCACACATTGCTTCTCTTTGAAGAGGTTTAATTTTAGCTAAGTGGGACATTAGGCATTTCTATCCATCTTGTTGACAAAGACCTCAGAGCCAGAGGCTTGAAGCAAGCAGCAGCTCTGCTGCTCCAGCCCACCATGGGTCTGGGGCTGTTGTCTGAACTCCACTGACCTTTGGTACCGAGTCTGCTTTTGAGAGAGGAGACTGGTAAATGTTCAGGGTCAAACCCAGACACAAAATCCTTGCAAGGATTGGAGTAAACCCTAGATTTTTCAGTCCTTTTCAAAAATGAGGGATGTACTCCTCACCCACTTACATCTCTTGCTCAAAACCAGCACTAAACATTAACCATGTTCAGTGTGCTCACTGATACTGCCTATTTTCCTACTGCTTTTAATTATACCCACAGTCGTGTCCATTAAGTCAATATGATCCTGCCCTCAATTCAATGAAAACCTCTGGAAACAAATGACATCTGCAACAGAACTGGCAGAGCTTTTCCCTTTGTCCCATAACATGGCTGGGTTTCAATGGTGTTAAGTCAGTTTTCATCGGTCACTGGCTGGAGAAACCAAAGGATCAACATCCTGGAGAAGGGTGAAGAAATAAATAGCTCTGAGAGACCACGTCACATTACTTGGACATGGTCGCACCAACAGAGTAATCTTCATCATGTGCCAAGGAACCTGTGATAAGCCCTCTCATAGTCGGATCAGTAATCAGATCAGTTACTTAATTCAAACTGATTAAACCCAGGCTGGACTACTAACAAACAAACAAGGCACATCTGTGGGTCTGCACATAAAATATATATCACAACATTCAAAACTTTCTGGGCTATTGTGCTGTGTCAGGAGTGCTGGGCTCACTGTAAATAATTTTGGGGACACACATAATACTTTTGTATACTGTAAGACTCCAGTGCAGCCCACAAACAGGCTGCCTGTCCTGTGGGCAGGGTCTTGGTTCAAATGTATGTGACAAACACATTTTTGCAAACATGGGCCAGCCTCTGGGTTACCCACCAGTTGTGAGACCACAAGCACTCAGCATGCTCTGGTCTGTTTGCTGGGGTCTGAAGCACCCTACAGCTGTAGCTGATTCCCCCACCTCCACAGGAGAGCTTGGCTTAAGAAAAACGGTCCCACTTCCACACCAGAGACATTAATTTCCTACACAGAAGCCTGTTTGGCTTTGTGACTACACTAAGCCCCTACCTGGGGGCTCCAACACCACTTGGCTTACCCAGTCACGTGTGGAGGATGAGTAGAAGGGGCTGGACAGCCTGCCTTGTCACCATGCTGGACATCCAAATTGATGGCAATGTCCTGTCCAGGAAAGGATTTAGGGTTTGTGGTGGGGCAGGGCCATCTCCCAGAGCGGGCAGCACACTGATGTGGCAGGTACCACTGCCACCAGTGATGGGCAGTGAGGCATGGGCAGGTGAGGTTGCACTGGACACAAAGGAAAGGCTATAGAATTAGTTATTTTTAAACAATTCCTTCTGATCCTGCCCTTTGGTACTAGTTATCCTGTGCCTGCAGTACTGGGATGCCACTGACAGGCGCGTGCCCCAGCCACAGCAGGGAGTGGCAGAAGCGGCTGCCTTGAATGAGTTTTCATCTGGAATCAGACACGAGCAATGGAAGAGGATTTTCTGTGCTGCAGCTGACACCTGAGATGCCAGGACCTGCAGTGGATCCACAAGAACCCTCAGGTGACCAATCGCACTGACCAACGCCAGGTGTAATTCTCTCCAGCAAAGCAGCTCAGGGCACATCCTGATTTCTCTTCCCTCAGATGTGGTCACTGGGCATTTCTGAGTGTGACAGCAGCGTGCAGCTCCTGCCCAGCTTGCCCACCTGCCTGCATCCCCTCCCACGGGCCCTTGGGTTTTGGTATGAGGCACGTGAAGTGCCTCACAAAGCAAACCTAGCACAGTTTAAGCATTGTTTCCCCAGCTGAATGGTCGTTCAGAAGAGGCATGACAAAGAAAGCAGTTGTTCCTTGCCAGCATCATTCTCACTGGAGTCAAGGGGAGGGTTGACAGCACAGTGAGGGTTCCCTCCCTGCTGCCCCAAGCAGCTTTGCAGAGAGGGCTGCAGAGCATCAGGGCATTTCAGCAGATGCCTGGCAATCCCCCTGTGTGTGTCCATACACACCGTGCTGGGACATGCAGAAAGTGTTGCCTGTTCCAGCAGTGAGCAGCAGAAGCTGCACTCCATGCTCGTGATGGAAAGGCTGGGGAACTCCAAGGATGAAGAGACCAGAGCTGTTGGCCATGAACCTGACAGCGACAAGCATTGCCTGCATGCAGAGAGTCTGATCACACCCTCCTGATTGAGAGGGCCATGGTTGCAAGAGGGGGAGAGCTGGGGGACAAACACGTGGTGCCAAAGAGGGAAATGCTCTGAACTGACTTGGAGAGGGGCATAAGGATGGAGCAGATACCAGGATTTGCTGTCAGTAAGGAGGTCATTAGAGAGAGCAGATCCCAGTAACAGCAGCACCTGCCTTTTCAGTGCATGGCTGGTACCTGTACACAGGCATTTTAGGGGCAAGGGACTGCAGGTGCCCGAGGGAGGGAGTCTCTGGTGCAGGGCTGCCAGCAGTGCCAGGCTCACCCCACACCACAACAGTCTCCCTGCTTCTCTGTAGCCAGAGCTTGATGGGTGACTGTGAGCGGGACGGGCTGCGGGCAAATGTCACTGTCAGATGACAAGTGAGGGCCACAAGTTTCACAGCAGGCACGTGTGCGCACACGCGGGAGCCGCAGTGCAGAGCACTGCCAGGCTCCAGCCAGGACCACCACTGAGCCAGGAACTGCCACGGGCCAGGGCAGGGAAGGGGTGTGACACTACCTGCCCGGGACCCCCTGTGCCCAGGGACCTGCATGTCTGCAGCCTCCTCTGCCCAGGAGCCCGGGTGTGCCAAAGCCCCGGTGCACAGGTCTCCCTGTGGCCAGACACCATGCCCTCAGGACCCCATGTGTCCAGGTCCTTGTGTGCCCCAGATCCCACAGACTCAGGACCAATGCCCCTGGGAGACTATGCTCTCTGCACCACATACTGCCAGGACCCCATGTGCCCCTGATCCCATATCCCCTGGATCCTGTGTGCTCCTAACCCCATGTGCCCTGGGTTCCATACCCCCAGGACCCCATATCCCCAGAACCCTATGCTCCTGGATCCCACAGGCTTGGGACCCCTTGCCCCCAGAATCCCATGCCTCTGGGACCCTATGTGCCCCTGACTCAATGTGCCCTGGACTCCATATCCCTAGAACCATGTATCCCCCGGATCCCATGCCCACAGGACCCTGTGCCCCTGGGATCCCTTGCCTCCAGGACCCCATATGCCCCTGACCCCATGTGCCCTGGACTCCATACCCCCAAGACCCCCTATCCCCTGGATCCCATACGCCCAGGACCCCCTGTCCCCAGAACCCCATGCCGCCAGGACCCCATGTGCCCTTGATCCCACAAGTTCCTTGGACTCCATACTCCCAGAACACCATGTTCCCAGGACCTCACGCCCCCGGGACCCTCCCTTATCCCCGGGAACCCCATGCACCCCTGACCCTATGTCCCCACGGCCCCGGGACCCCGTGCACCCCTGACCCTGTGTCCCCGCAGCCTCCTCTGCCCAGGAGCCCGGGTGTGCCAAAGCCCCGGTGCACAGGTCTCCCTGTGGCCAGACACCATGCCCTCAGGACCCCATGTGTCCAGGTCCTTGTGTGCCCCAGATCCCACAGACTCAGGACCAATGCCCCTGGGAGACTATGCTCTCTGCACCACATACTGCCAGGACCCCATGTGCCCCTGATCCCATATCCCCTGGATCCTGTGTGCTCCTAACCCCATGTGCCCTGGGTTCCATACCCCCAGGACCCCATATCCCCAGAACCCTATGCTCCTGGATCCCACAGGCTTGGGACCCCTTGCCCCCAGAATCCCATGCCTCTGGGACCCTATGTGCCCCTGACTCAATGTGCCCTGGACTCCATATCCCTAGAACCATGTATCCCCCGGATCCCATGCCCACAGGACCCTGTGCCCCTGGGATCCCTTGCCTCCAGGACCCCATATGCCCCTGACCCCATGTGCCCTGGACTCCATACCCCCAAGACCCCCTATCCCCTGGATCCCATACGCCCAGGACCCCCTGTCCCCAGAACCCCATGCCGCCAGGACCCCATGTGCCCTTGATCCCACAAGTTCCTTGGACTCCATACTCCCAGAACACCATGTTCCCAGGACCTCACGCCCCCGGGACCCTCCCTTATCCCCGGGAACCCCATGCACCCCTGACCCTATGTCCCCATG